GAAGAAAAGGAAAGAAAAGGAAAGATGGAAGGAAAGAAAAGAGAGACAGCAGAAGAGAAAGAAAAAGGGGGAAGGAAGGAAAGAGATAGAGAAAGAAGAGGAGAAGGAAAGATGGGAGGGAGGGAAGGAAGGAAGGAAGGAGGGAAAGAAGGAGAGAAAGAGGGAAGATTGGCCACAGCAACACGTGGCGGGTAAAGGTTGTTATTTCTATTATTATTATTATTATTATTATTATTATTATGCTATTGTTCCTATGAGACCCTGGAGGAATGGGAGAGGTGTCAGGTCCCAGAGGCAATGCATTGCATTATTGTTATTGTTATGATGGTGGTAAAATAAAAGGAAATAAAAAGTGAAAGAAGGAAGCAAACAGGGAGGGAAGAAAGGCAAAGGAAGGAAGGGGGAGGGAATGAAGGAAAGAGAGAAGGATGAAACCAAGTAGTGAAAGAAAGAAAGAGGTAGAGAAGGAAGAAAGGAGAGAAAGGGGGAGGAAAAGGGGGAAGGAATAGGTAGGGACCTCTCTTTCATAATAGTCCAGATATCTACCTCAACTTTGATAAGTTTTACTATAGGCCACAGCAACGCGTGGCAGGGCACAGCTAGTATAATTAATATATATTGTATAAACATATAATATTTATAACATTATAATGTAATGCAATATAATACTAATAATAACATGATATTATAATTATATATTTATATTACATGTAATATTACTAATAATATTACAATATAATTGGTATAGTACAATATAGCAATATTTAAAACTGATATTGTACTATGCTAATAATATAATATATTGTATGTATATATACCTTGTAAGCCGCTCTGAGTCCCCTTCGGGGTGAGAAGGGCGGCATATAAATGTCGTAAATAAATAATAAATAAATTTGCAGTTTGGTAGTTGATTAAATGTCCTTTGACCAGTATCTGGCCACTTGGAGTGCTTCTGGTGTTGCTGCAAGAAGGTCCTCCAATGCACGAGGCAGGGCTCAGGGTGCATTGCAGCAGGTGGTCAGTGGTTTGCTCTTCTCCACAGGTTTTTGTTGTTGTTGTTGTTGTATCAGGAGTCGCTCCTGTTGTGAGAGAATTGACCGTCTGCAAGGACATTGCCCAGGGGACGCCCGGATGATTTGATGTTTTTATCATCCTTGTCTTTTATCATCCTTGTCTCCAGCAAAGGATCACCGCCTTGTCGGGGCGCTGGAGCTTGAGCACCTCAATGATGTCATGAGCGAAACCGTGAAGGGCCACCCAAGACGGGACGGTTGTGGCAGAGAGGTCAGACCAAGCGTGATCCCTGGGGAAGGCAATGGCAAACCACTCCAGTATCCTTGCCAAGAAACTAAATGGACCAGTACAACCAGAGATATGTCGGTATGCCATTGGAAGATGGGACTCCCAGGTCGGAAGATGGCCAAAATGCTACTGGGGAGGAGCAGAGGATAAGTTCAACTAGCCCCAGATGTGATGATGCAGCTAGCTCAAAGCCGAAAGGAAGGCTAGCGGCCGACGGTACTGGAGGTGAACGACGAATCCGATGCTCTAAAGATCAACACACCATAGGAACCTGGAATGTAAGACCTATGAGCCAGGGCAAATTGGATGTTGTTATTGGTGAGATGTCAAGACTAAAGATAGACATTCTGGGGGTCAGCGAACTGAAATGGACTGGAATGGGCCACTTCACATCAGATGACCACCAGATCTACTACTGCGGACAAGAGGAACATAGAAGAAATGGAGTAGCCTTCATAATTAATAAGAAATTCGCTAAAGCGGTGCTTGGATACAACCCAAAAAATGACAGAATGATCTCAATTCGAGTGCAAGGAAAGCCTTTCAACATTACAGTGATCCAAATATACGCCCCAACCACAGCTGCTGAAGAAGCAGAAGTAGATCAGTTCTATGAGGATCTGCAGGAACGACTGGATAATACACCAAAAAGAGACATTATTTTCATTACAGGAGACTGGAATGCCAAGGTGGGAAGTCAAATGACAACTGGGATCACAGGCAAGCATGGTCTGGGAGAACACAATGAAGCGGGACGCAGGCTGATAGAATTTTGCCAGGAAAACTCGCTGTGTATAACGAATACTCTCTTCCAACAACCTAAAAGACGGCTTTACACATGGACCTCACCAGACGGTCAACACCGAAATCAGATTGACTACATCCTTTGCAGCCAAAGGTGGCGGACATCCATCCAGTCGGTGAAAACAAGACCTGGGGCTGACTGTAGCTCAGATCACGAACTTCTTATTGCTCAATTTAGAATAAAACTAAAGAGATCAGGGAAAATACACAGACCAGTTAGATATGATCTCACTAACATTCCTAGCGAATATACAGTGGAAGTGAAGAACAGATTTGAAGGACTAGATTTAGTAAAAAGAGTCCCAGAAGAACTATGGACAGAAGTCCGCGACATTGTTCAGGAGGCGGCAACAAAGTACGTCCCAAAGAAAAAGAAAACCAAGAAGGCAAAATGGTTGTCTGCTGAGACACTGGAAGTAGCCCAAGAAAGGAGGAAAGCAAAAGGAAACAGGGATAAGGGGAGATATGCCCAGTTAAATGCGCAATTCCAGAGGTTAGCCAGAAGAGATAAGGAACTATTTTTAAATAAGCAATGCAGGGAAGTGGAAGAAGACAACAGAATAGGAAGGACAAGAGACCTCTTCCAGAAAATTAGAAACATTGGAGGTAAATTTCAGGCAAAAATTGGTATGATAAGAAACAAAGATGGCAGGGACCTAACAGAAGCTGAAGAGATCAAGAGAAGGTGGCGAGACTATACAGAAGATCTGTATAGGAAGGATAATAATATTGAGGATAGTTATGACGGTGTGGTGAATGAATTAGAACCAGACATCCTGAGGAGTGAGGTTGAATGGGCCTTAAGAAGCATTGCTAACAACAAGGCAGCAGGAGATGACGGGATCCCAGCTGAACTGTTTAAAATCTTAAAAGATGAGGCTGTCAAGGTGATGCATGCCATATGCCAGCAAATATGGAAAACACAAGAATGGCCATCAGACTGGAAAAAATCAACTTATATCCCCATACCAAAAAAGGGAAATGCGAAAGACTGCTCAAACTTCCGTACAGTGGCCCTTAGTTTCTCATGCCAGTAAGGTAATGCTCAAGATCCTGCAAGGAAGACTCCAGCAATACATGGAGCGAGAGTTGCCAGATGTTCAAGCTGGGTTTAGAAAAGGTAGAGGAACGAGAGACCAAATTGCCAATATCCGCTGGATAATGGAGAAAGGCAGGGAGTTTCAGAAAAACATCTACTTCTGCTTCATTGACTATTCTAAAGCCTTTGACTGTGTGGATCATAATAAATTGTGGCAAGTTGTTAGTGGGATGGGCATCCCAAGCCACCTTGTCTCTCTCCTGAGGAATCTGTACAAGGACCAAGTAGCAACAGTCAGAACTGACCATGGAACAACAGACTGGTTCAAGATTGGGAAAGGCGTACGGCAAGGCTGCATCCTCTCACCCAACCTTTTAACTTGTATGCAGAACACATCATGCGATGTGCGGGGCTGGATGAATGCAAAGCTGGGGTGAAAATTGCTGGAAGAAACATTAACAACCTCAGATATGCAGATGACACCACTCTGATGGCCGAAAGCGAGGAGGAGCTGAGGAGCCTTCTAATCAAGGTGAAAGAAGAAAGCGCAAAAGCTGGGTTGCAGCTAAACGTCAAAAAAACCAAGATTATGGCAACAAGAATGATTGACAACTGGAAAATAGAGGGAGAAACCGTGGAGGCCGTGACAGACTTTGTATTTCTAGGTGCAAAGATTACTGCAGATGCAGACTGTAACCAGGAAATCAGAAGACGCTTACTTCTTGGGAGGAGAGCAATGTCCAGTCTCGATAAAATAGTGAAGAGTAGAGACATCACACTGGCAACGAAGATCCGCATAGTTAAAGCTATGATATTCCCTGTAATAACCTATAGATGTGAGAGCTGGACCATAAGGAAGGCTGAGTGAAGGAAGATAGATGCTTTTGAATTGTGGTGCTGGAGGAAAGTTCTGAGAGTGCCTTGGACTGCGAGAAGATCCAACCAGTCCATCCTCCAGGAAATAAAGCCCGACTGCTCACTGGAGGGAAAGATACTAGAGACAAAGTTGAAGTACTTTGGCCACATCATGAGGAGACAGGAAAGCCTAGAGAAGACAATTATTCTGGGGAAAGTGGAAGGCAAAAGGAAGAGGGGCCGACCAAGGGCAAGATGGATGGATGGCATCCTTGAAGTGACTGGACTGACCTTGAAGGAGCTGGGGGTGGTGACGGCCGACAGGGAGCTCTGGCGTGGGCTGGTCCATGAGGTCACGAAGAGTCGGAGACGACTGAACGAATGAACAACAACATCATCCTTGTGGGACGCTTCTCTCATGTCCCCGCATGAGGAGCTGGAGCTGATAGAGGAAGCTCATCCACCTCTCCCCAGACCTGTCGGTCTTCAGTCGTGCCGGCACAGGGGTTTAACCCACTGCGCCACCGGGGGCTCCTTCTCCACAGTGAAGTGAAAAAAACCTGCTTTATCATTTTTCATTTTCTTCATTTTTTCTTCATTTTCTCCTTCTTTTCCCCCTCTTGTACCTACTATCTTCTACTATCCCCTCCCCTATTAATTCCTACCCCCTATTTTTATTATTATTATTGAATTATTATTCATACTTTTATCTATTTTAAAAAGTTTTCCGAATAAAAATGATCTACCAAAAAAAAAAAAGAAATCTATGATAGTTTCCAGCATCCAATAGCCTTCCTTGCCTCAGTAAGCCACAACTGCAGGGCCCTCAAAGCATGACTCTTGGCAGTGCAACTACACAAATTTTGCAGTCTAGCAAGAGCCGCACGAGCAGCCCCACGCGCCTGCGCAGCTCAGTCAGGCCGCGGGTGACGTCGCTTGGGGGGCGTGGCGACGGGGAAGGGGCGTGGCTTCCGGGCCGCTCCTCGCCGGCCCCGCAATAAGAGCGCAGGGCGGGGCGAGGCGGCTCTCCTCTCGGCCTCGCTGCTCGCCTTCGCCGCGGCGTCGGCTGCCGGGACGCGGCCCTCAGGCCCCGGCGCCCTGGACCTCAGGTAGGCGGGACGGAGGGGAGGTGGAGGAAGCCCCGGGCGCTGAGGAGAAGGGTCGCGGGGAAAGGCAGGAGCTGAGGAGGACGGTGCCTCTCCCTCAGGGTTGTTGGTGAGCAGGAACAGGGCTTGTAAACTGGCAGAGGCTGGGGAAGAGGCGCCTGCTTCTGCCGCTCCCTCGCAATGGAAGCTGTGACGGTCTACGTGTGGATACACACACGGGCACATCTTAATGTGTGTCTCCCGGTGGATGAGGGAGTAAAATACGTCAGCATCGCCCCTCCCTTCTTCCTTTGACTGTTGGTAGACAGGGAAAGATGGAGTGTATCTGTGTGCATACACCAGGCCTGGGCAAACTTGGGCCTTCCCTCCAGGTGTTTTGGACTCCAACTCCCACAATTCCTAACAGCCTTGTGGGAGTTGAATTCTAAAACATCTGGAGGGCTCAAGTTTGCCCAGGACTGATCTATCCGCACACACACACATATAAACATAAAAAGTGTGTGTGCGTTTGTGTGTAGGCACACACAAACATGCCACACAGGGGTATGATGTGTATCTATCTACACACACACATATAAACATAAAAAGTGTGTGTGCGTTTGTGTGTAGGCACACACAAACATGCCACACAGGTGTATGATGTGTATCTACACACACACATATAAACATAAAAAGTGTATATGTGTGTGTGTATATATATATGCGCACGCAAACATACACATCATACACCTGTGTGCATCTATCTACCTAAACACACACACACACATATATATACTCCTTCCTCATAAATATTTATTTATTTAGGGCATTTTATATCCCGTCCTTTCTCAACCTCCGCAGAGGGACTCAGGACGGCTAACAAAGTGGCACCCCATGGTGCCGACATCAAAACAAAAATGTACAATTAAAAACAATGTAATAATAACAATAATAATAAAAACAATAATAATAAAAACAGACAACAAATAGGCAGTGGTCGCCGATTTAAATCATTATCCAAGGGCAGTCCATCAGTTCTAAATAACACATCAGTAGGTCAGCCTATTCTCCAAAGGCCTGATCCCATAGCCAGGATTTTACTTGTTTTCGGAAGGTCAAGAGGGATGCAGCAGATCTAATTTCACTCGAGAGGGAGTTCCACAGTCAGGGGGCCACCACAGAAAAGGCCCTGTCCCTTGTCCCCGCCAGATGCGATTGTGACAATGGGGCGACAGTGAGCAGGGTCTTCTCAGATGATACACTTTTTTCTATTCCTATTTCACCCAGGGTTTTAACGTTTTAACATTTTATCTCGTACATTTGGCCCGCCCTTTGTGTTTGATTTTTATTATGTTGTTTTGCACTGTTTATCTTATTTTGTTACTTAATGTATTTTGTTGTGATGTAATTTTTCTGTTATTTTGTGTTTAACTTTGTTGTATTAGTTTCGGGCTTGGCCTCATCTTAGCTGCCCTTTGGGGAGATGGTGGCAGGATATAAATAAAGATTATTATTATTATTATTATTATTATTATATGCATGTGTGTGTATATATAAGCACACGATCATGCACTCAGAGGTGCATGATGTATACATTTCTACTTCTATATCTATATGCACATATACACATATATAGAAAAAGTGTAAATGTGTGTGAACACACACATATACACACAGAGGGGTATGATGTGTACGTTTCTATCCTGTATCTGTATCTATATATGCACTCATACACATATATAGGAAAAGTGTATATGTGTCTGGACAAACAAACATGCATACAAAGGTGTATGATGTATATATACACACATACACAAGACACACACATATAGATACACACAAAGTCTATATACCTGTGTGCATATATATGCACACACAAACAAGCACACAGAGGTGTATAATGTGTATGTTTATATATATACACACAGAAAGTGTACGTGTGTGTATATGTATATGCACACACAAATGTACACACAGGCGTATGATGTGTATGTTTGTTTGGATATATCTATATATACACACAAAAGTGTACATTATATGTTCTTGTGCATTGTATACATTGTATATATGCATTGTATGTGCATATATAGACATGTATACATGTACATGCACACATGCATATATATGTGTGTGTGTGTGACTGCACACAAGTGTGCAGTGTGTAGGTAGAATGTGTTTGAAATTAGTGTAAATAATGTAGGTATACCTGGATGCAACATTCACATTGTACGCATGTTGTCATAGGACTATTATAGAACACTTGCATTCTGTCAAATGCATAGAGATGACCCTGAGTGTATCTGCACTATAAAATGAATTCAGTTTGGCACCACGTGAACTGCCATGGCTCAATGCAATGGAAACATGGGAGTTGCAGTTTTACAAGATCTTTAGTCTTCTCTCTGAAAGAATGCTGGTGCTTCATAAATTACAAATCCCATGGCAATTAAAGTAGTGTTGAAATTGTATTCAATCTACAGTGTAGATGCATCTGTTATGTTTGTGATCTTGTGTATAGTTTTCTGGGTGTATCCTAGTAGCTGTAATCCTTTCAAAACCTTGTGTCATTGTAGCAAGGATCAACTGTTGTTTTCCCACGTACTGAGTCTTTTACACAGTGGAAGCATTATTTAGCGCTCACATACATTTTGCCTGCCTAATACTGTATGATATGTTGTGTAAGATGTATTGCAAAGTGTGAAATCCTAGCATGTCAAGACAGTTGCTACTTAGTTAAATGCATTGCCTGTTTCAGTGGGACGTATAGAACTAAGGCTGGGCTTTAATTTTTTAATGCATCTTGAAGACACTGTTTGTTTTTGATAAGGCCAATTGGCTAATCAATAAAAATTGTTGTTGTACGGTGTAGTATTTTTGTGTTGCAAGAAATTATGAAAGCAGCCACATCCCTACATGCAGTGACAGGCCCTTACTGGACTGCACATTCGTTTTCTTCCACAAGGCCTCAAAAATGGAGCAAAGCATAAAAGCCATTAAAAATGGTTTTACTAAATTTAATTTTAATAAAGAGTCTGATACAAATTTGGACTTCTTGCTAGCAGTTGTACAGCCTGCCTTTCTGTTTTGCTGGAGTGTGTCTCTGACATCACAGAGCTGGAGTACTAATGCTGTGCAAAGGAATCATGCTCATGCAATCATGCTGAAGTGTAATGCGTGTGCTGTGTGAGTGTGTTTGAGTTGTACTCTCCTAGGTTCTGCTGCTTTGGCTCATTGTCCATAAAAGGAAGTAGCACTATGGAGAGCTCTTTTCATCCTGCCTGCAGGGAGTCTGCTCCTCCTTCTCCCATGTATTCCTCTGGATGGGAGTGATGAGAGAAAGTAGAGAGATTATGCTCAGATTGCTTGCAGATGGTATCTAGATTTTGAAATTGGGAATATGTAACATCCTGAGCTAAGACATATTTCTTCTGGCAATCCTACCCAGTCAGTCTTGAACTGTGAATTTTAAATTTGCATTCTATTTACATCATATTTTAATATTTGTACTATGCCATTTGCTATGTGTTTTGGTTGTGTTGTACCCTGCCTCAAGAGGCAGGTAACAAATGACATTTATTATCATCAACATCAAGGATAAAGGAGCTTAGAGTTGCTCAGAATATCCTAGTGTTGGGTATTTTAATCATGCATAGTACATTAATACTACTTTCTGCAGTGCCACATTTAACTCCCCATATTTTACTGTCCCAGGGTCTTCCAAACCTTTGCCAGTAAAGTTTATTTAACAATATTCTAAATAAAATATTGTAAGTGAAAGCAAATTAGGTAACAAAGATCAACATGCAGATACGAGATCACTTGCCTTATTGGGTTTTAAAAATCCAATATATTTTAGTTGTTAAAAGAATTGGCTTTCCTCCAGGAAATTTCAGGGGTTTCATAATACACTCCCCAAAGAAATGGACCATTAAGCAAAGAACTGATAGTGGCCAAAACACATGGGTTGTTTTGGTTTAAAAAAAAAAAGCAAGTGACTTTCTATCAACACAGGGAACTTTATCCTAATTTGCGTTGACTTTGCATATGTGCTCATCAGCTTTATCCTTTGGAAAATATTTTAGATCCCCATTTAATGTAAACATAAGAGGTAGGTTCCAACACACAATTTCACAATGCAACAATAATATTTCAGGAGCCATAAAGCCATAAAATTAAAATCAATAAAAAAAATTAAAATGCAATCCCATTCATATAAGTATCCTGCCAAGTAATCATACTGAAATCCAATGGATAATTACAGCTAAAACTATCTCATCCATCTTGTAAACCATTGAAACCCTGCATGGTATGGATGCAAAATCACTTTCTTTACTCCCAAAGTTCACTGCCATTGTTTTCATAGGTAAATTCTTAGCAAGAGCAAAATTCCAGTGTGTATTGTATTACACTATGTCCTGTACATTATCTCCTTTGTATGTTTGGAAGGAGGAACAATGAGAAGCCAAAGTACAAAATCATTTTATAGTTTAAAAAAAAAGTTCAGAGATTTTGGAATGAATGGAGAGGATCTTTGAGTATGCATCAAGTAGATCCACCCAATGCAATCCAATAGATAATCAGCAGCACCCTTAATACACCCACAAGACTCTTTCTACATTGTTCAATCTTAGGGTTCCTTTCATCAGCCCTGAATTTTCTATGTATACACATGTAGGTTCCTTAGGAAAGGGCTAACTACCATATCCTTAGAAAGTAGCCAGTAGTTCCCAAATAACTGAATATGATAAAGTTTACCATTTAATTGATATGTTTAAATGTTGTTGGAAGAAGAGGTCCAAGTACTACTGGGGAGAAGCATCATAGTTGAACAAAAGCAAAAGTGTTCGTTATATAGATCTACTTACTAAACAATGTAGTTGTAGTATTTCGATGTGTATGGCAGAGTTTGGTATGTGAAGTGTTTAATGCATTGCTCAGATTAAGAATTTTGTGTATGCAGAAGCATGCAGAAGTGTATAACCAGAAAGAGAGAATAAACCAACCCCACAAAATGTATGTCTATA